GTAAATTCCAACGAGGGTATTTCCTGCGCGAGAGCGTGTGTTTCGCACATTTCGTGCCCCTTCCCCTCCGGCTCTCGCGCGTAGAGACCACCCCCGCCCCCGCCCCCGTATCTCGTCTACGACCACTAACCGCTCGTGTTTCGTCGGGCGTGTGCGAGGGCGAAAAGTACCCCCTCAGGGCTGTTTGTTTTTGATACGGTTTTCATCGAATAACGTCGTCGTGGTAGACATTCCGCGGTCCGTGCTACTACTTGCATCTGCATGTAAATGGGGGTTACATCTTACACAAAAGTGTGCTATTATTCCCCATTTCCATTTAGGAAGCAAAGTATTGTGTGATAACGCGCGTGGACATGTAAGATTGATCGTAAACCAGATCATTGTCAAGCGAAAAAGTAATTCGCTTTGCGGATTTTCTAACACAAATCACTGAAACGTAGAATAAATTGTCGTCTTTTAATCATCGCTATTGCGATCAACAAGATATTTGAGCACTAAAATGTGAGCACACACGGAAGAATATTTCTCAAAACTGCAATCGTTGCATTGAGCGCGTTGTGAGAGAAAAACTCGATAATACAAAAATTTGGATGTTGCGTGATTGGAGCGATTGTTAAAACTTCCGATGATGCTGACAATGGATGATCTAGTGCCTCTCTCAATAAAAATGCTGATCGCGTTTCTTTCTTCAATTGGTAGCAAAATTTTCTGCTCAGCACGTTTTTCCGATTTTAACGTTCGTGATATCGCGCCCAAGGAAAAAAGCACGTGACTTGCATTTGTTAGTACGCTAATTGGGCAGCGGTTGAACAAACAAGCGAGAAAGCATAATTATCTGCTGTTTGAAAAAAAAAAAGCGGCTCGTTTATAGCGCATTTATTTGATTCTCATCGAACGAAAAGTTTTAAAAAACACGTTTTACAGAGAATGTTGTGAAATAATGGCGGCTAAACAAAATAACATTTCGATAAATTCGAAAAATTAAAATGCATCACACACACACACATTTCAAAGATTATATAAATGTTAATTTTAAAGTCATATTGTGTTTCCTCGACGTTGCAATGAAGTTCTCTCTCTCTCTTCATCTCTCTCTCTCTCTCTCTCTCTGCTGTTTCTATAGTTATATTAATATTGATACATCAGAGCAGCATCGTGCGGAAATTTGCATAAGAACGTCGTCATAGCGCACAAACGCGCCAACCAATAGAAGCGCACGGTGTAAGCCGCTGTATTGTACTGCGAAGCTTATACCAGGAGCATCATTGGTCGAGACGCTTATGCACTTATGTAAATTTGACCCTGATATATAGGCTTTAGTTCGCGCGCTCTTACAAAAGAACATCGCTCTAAACACTTCTCTCGGTAATATTTCGAATGAGGGAGAGAGACACAATCAGTTTTTGCCACTTCAAACTTTAGACATCGTTAAAAAGCAAAACTACAATGAATTAAAATTGTGAAAATGAAAAATTTTCACTGCGCGATTGCCGTTTAAAAAGTGCTTCGCAATAATGTTCGGAAAGAACGCGAACTTTGCGAGCACCGTAAAAGTGCCGCGCCACTTGTCGAAGAATGTCCACGATGGCGACGTCACTTTAATTTGCCTCGAGACACTGCCGTCTCGCGAGGAGGCATCTGGAAAACTTGCGAATTAAGAGATTCGTCGGCGACGTAGAACGGGGGGGAAGGCAGGAAAGATCATTCGATTATTTCCAGCCATTAAGGGGAACCCTAGCTCGTTCTCTCCCCCGCTTCGGCGTCCGCGAGAGGGTGGGAACGTTTCTCGCAGCTTCTTTCCAAACTTTCGACACGAGTTTTACATTTCGCGTGCGGATGAAGAAGGGTACAGAGGCATCACGGAGGAGAGAAGAGGAATGACGGGGTAAAAGAGAGAAAATATATATGAGGAGAGAAGAGTGTAAGACGGCGAAATCGAAAGCGGGGAGAAAGTGGGAAAGCGACCTTCTCGCCGTGGAGATTCCTCCTCGCAAGGTAGGCCTCTGCGTGAGGGTGCCGGCGCATTCGACCCTCCTTCTCGTACAATTGGTATTCCGACCTGGTGTGCCAATATTGCGTTACAGAAACGCGTCGTGCAAGCCGAATTCAAACGACTACGAGCGCGATGACACGCTTGTAAGTCACACCGCGCCGCGTGTCTTTTAATTCGCGCGCCACCCCCCCACTCGGGAAATAAATACTCGGGAGATGAGCGCGAGATTGAGACGTCACGTTCGCGTCGGATGATTTTCCCTCAATTGTCACGAGCTCCCAAAATTACAGGAGACTTGGCGAAACGGGAAAGATTATTATTTTTTTTTCCCGGCAGTTAAATAAAATTAAAAACTATTAAAACCTATTTTTACACATAACTCTGAAAAAGAAAGTATCGTTATATTGTATTTAAAAACTTCGCGAACTAAATCTTATTTTCTTTGCAAAAAACAAAAATAACGCAAAAAGAACGTAAAAAATAGTTTAATAAAAACATTGAGCAAAACCTCGAGAGATGATAAAATTGCTTCGCTGCAGTGATTCTCATTCGACATTTTTGTATACTTGGCGACGAGAAGCCACCGCATTTCTAGATTTCTTCAGTTAAAGAAATATTTTTTCTCCGCTTCGGTTTTATTATATTTAGTTTATCTTATTTGTTACATTTCACAGCAGAAGTCTCGTTCGGAAAAAAACAAAAAACATTCCATGACAAAAAATTCGTGGCACAAAGAGCCTGATGGCCAATTAACTAATTTTTTTTTCATCCAGTTCTATTTTTCAGTTATTCTTCGCGTATCAATTCCGGGAATTTCGATTTATTAAAAGGACATCAAAGCGGAAGTGAATTGCTATTGTTACTCATTTTTAACCGGTGGAAATCCGAGCGAGAGAGTTAAACAGTATTACACGCGGGCGTCTGGCCCGAGGGCGGACATCAAGGGTTGGCCCTCTCTCGCCGCGGTGAAAATTTTCAAAGGCCTCCGACATCGATGGGCGCTCTCTTCGCTTGCTCGCGCGCGCATCAGGAAAGCGTATAGGACCCTTTCCGCAATTTCTCCCGCCGCACGGGCGCGGAATCAAGTGTTTGAGATTATGACGGTGGCTCCGGTCACGTATTTCATTAACCGTCATGCCGACGGGTTCGGGGAAGTTCAAGGGCGAGATCTCCGGCCACACGAAGGGTGTAGATACCTGCAAAATATGTTTGCTTTTCGTTACATCCCTTCGGATGATCCCGTTATAATTATGAATGTCGTTGTTGTCGCCGCGGTAAGTGTCGGATATTCCGCTATCGACTCTGATATTGGTTTCGTCTAACGGACAAGATAGAAGACGAAATAAAAAGAGAGAGAGAGAGAGTGTGTGTGTATGTGCCTAGCAATATTTCTTATATCTTAAATCAACATTCAGAAACAATTACTTTCGTATAAATAACATTTTTTAATTAACACATTAATATGTTCCGCAAAGCAAAGTGCAAATATGACAATGTGTGTTACACGAAGTGAAATAAGTTCAATTTAATTGGCGCGCGATCGCCCGCCATGTAACTTAACGAGCAACATCCTCTTTCGCATCCTAACAAATCTCTTTATCGAAGCGAAGAAAACGTTTTCTCGTCCGTGAACACTGAGGAGTCAGTGTAAATCCGCGCCGGTATCGGCGGACTCGTTTGCGGCTACACGCTGTACCGCTCTCTTTGAAACGAGCAGCGACAGATTGGTATTACCATATCGGGAAAGGGACTAGACTCCTTATTTCCCTATCCTTTTGCCGTGGCGGAAAACGAAAAAAGAGAGAAAGGAGAAACTCGGCTGGCCTCTTTCTCTCATCTTCCGCAACCAGCGTCTCGGTTCTTACCACGATTCTCCACCTCGACCGCCCCAATCCGGACTCCTCTCTCTCTCTCTGTCTCTCTTCTCTCCAACCTTTCCCGGATACACTATACGCACCCATTATGCTTTCTCTCTTTCCACGAGGTTTTCGCCCCCTTTTTCCATTTCGGGCTCATCCGATTCTCGTCCACGAAGATTTCAATCTTGTTTGGCCGAGGCATCGACACGTCCTCATCTTCCTCTCGATTTTCCCTCGCAAACAGCGAAATCTTCCCACTCAGACAACACACGATGATTTTCTGTCTCTTTTGTCGGTTCCGAGGTCCGTGTTTGTTAAGCGATGTCAGTATACGAAAAAGGACAGTCGATCTGACGACGTGTTGTATAATATTGATCTTCGCGACGCGCATCAGCCGCAGGCTCGTCGATTGGGGGATCGTCGCTTCGCTTCTACAGGAAATTCGCGAAACCCGCCTACTCCGAAACGAATGAACGACCCTTCGATTTTCGTGCCTATGCCCGTCTCTTCTTCGTCTCCCTCGATTTTCATCGATACTTGAGATTTCGCGATGCCGATCGGCGAACTTGGTCGCAAGAGCGACCCTTTAATCAAGCTAGCGCGCGCGCCCTTCTTAAAGGGCGGTCCCACTTGGGCCAGGCTCGAGAACGTTGTTTCCTGGTCTGAGAAAAGTCTTTTCCAGTCTATGAATATATTAGAAGCAAACAAAGGGCCGCCTCCTATAATCCCGCGACTCTCTTTCCCCCGCAACCCGCGTCTACCTCCTTCACTTTTCACTCCGGAGACGTTACACGCGTTTATTAAACCCGGCCCGCCAACGCGCTTTCTTAAGCACTTTACGAGAGTCCGGACGAGCTCTTTCTCGTTGTTCTGCAGAGGCTTCATGTTCCGCCTTCTTCCGCCATTCTTTCGTCGCGGTATTATTGCGAGAGCAGACGCAATTAAAAATCGCGTCCATTCAGTCTCGCCCTGAAGTCCGCACTGACGGTTCAAAGAAATTTAATAATTATCGGAACGGAGATTAAGATAATCTGTCGCGCAATTGATCAAAGAGCGCGGTAGCATCAGTTTTTTAATTATATTATTTATCATCTCACAATAATGATCGTAAAATATCTAAATAAATCGTTCGCCGTATCTCTTTTCAGACCGAGATCTGTTCAAGCGCCTTGACGGACGTAATCCACGCGGTCATCAATGGAACGGATGGTTGCCTCTTTTGTTTCGGACACGCTGGCTTGGGTAAGTTCTTGAAAAAAAAAAATCTTTGATATTTTTTCTTCTCACGCTTTTGTAGAAAAACTATTATTTGTATTATTTTTGTCTTTGCTGCGTGACTCGAGAAATATAAATTATTTGAACGCACGCACTCGACGAGAGACACGTTCTTTCGAGAGAGAGAGAGAGAGAAAGAAAAAAAAAGAAATATGTCGCGTGGAGATTTTTTATTTAGGTTTTTCTCTTTGTTTCCCTCCCCCCCTCACTTTTATTCTACCGTCGCAAGAAACGCGCCAACAGAAATGTGGAGTTGTTTTACATTTTAAGTAGTGATATCGAGTTTATATGCAAATGCGCGATTATGCGTGGAGGAAGCGCGTAGGAGGGAGAGGCTTCTTGTGTAGAATAATATTGGCGTGGAAAACAAGATGCGAGAAAGGGAAGAAAACTAAGGACCGAAAGAAACGGAATAAAAATGAGAAACGAGTAGCGGAAACCGGAAGCGATAATATGCGTGCCAGTGGGACACAATCTTCTTCACTCTCGCATCACTCTCGAATCTTAACACACAGTAGTGCAGCCTGAAAAATCGTCCGTGTCATTCTCTCTGCCTTCTTTTTTTTTTTTTTTAATTATTTTGACATATTCTCTGTCTCTTCATTATTTATATTAATCGATATCCCTTCGGAAATAACGTCCGTCGAAAACGAAATCGTCGAATCTTTTTCGTGATACACGATCACAGACACAAGATGCTTGTTAAAAAATATTTTTGATCGACTAACTGGAATAAAGTTCTGCGATAACGCGATAGTCGAACATCTGCTCTCGCACAGATCTCGCAGATCAGAATCAATTAAACTTCACGGAATGATATCTCTCACCCGAGTCCTTTGGCACTTGTGTAATACATACATTTCGTTTTTTTTGAAGGACTTTTTACACCGAAGAATAGTTTACCGGAAAAGTTTAAGTAAAAATACGATAACACGTTAACCGAGCAGATTGCGTTATTACGAAAGTCAAAACGTAAGCCTCTTTTTTCCTCGCTATACATTACGCAAAATCGATCGTCGATTGTTATTTCTGAAAAGTCGCGCGAAAATAAAAAAAATTGACGCGAGGAGAAACTTTTCTTCCGCAAATTTATTTTTATATACGACGAGCTTACAGTTTTTCAAAAGCCTTTAACCGGCTTCCGGCGGTTTCGTTCTCGCGAACTGACGATATGGTTTCGTAATTCCGCGGAATACGTTGAAAAATCGTCCGTCCTCGATAACAAAGTTCACGGCAGCAGTCGGGCGAGATTTCTTCGCGACGCGGGGAGAGGAGGGACGAGAGAAATCGATAGAGAGAGAGAGAGAGAGAGAGAGCAAGATCGAAAATAAAAAGAGAAGCGCGCGCGACGAAGAGATGTAAGAGCTTAACAACCGTAGACAAAGAACCGCGTAAAAGGAAGTCAAACGAACTCGTGCGGTGTCTTCCCTCTCTGTTCCGAAAGTACTTCAGGCAAGTCCGCGAGCAAACTGCTTTTGATCATCGCTATGTGAACATTTCTCTTCTGCTCGCACTCTTCCATACTCGTCCTCCACATTTCCCTACTTCTTCTCGCGTTTGTCTTCTTTCTTTTTTTTTTTTTTTTTTTTGCGCTTCGGGTCTCCCCTAACTCTTTATCTTATCCTTACGCCGTCATTCTCTGAATGCAACTCCAAAAAAAAAAGAGAAACACAGGTAAGAGGGAGAAAGAGAGAGAGAGAGAGAGAGAGAGAGAGATCTCAGCCGTGATTAGGATAGAAAATGAGGGCACGGAAAAACAAAGAAGAGACTAGAAGAAGACTAGATTTGCATTGATACGCGGAGATATAAAGAAAGGAAAGAATACGCACACGCGCGCACATATGGACAATCTAACCAGCTCGGCAATCTTTAAAAATGGCGCGCGCGTCTTTTATTTTCACGCGTACGGTGCATTCGTCAACGCAACCGACTGCGTTTCACTCACGGGCGTGCGTCTGTCAACCCACGGTTTGAAAAATCGCGTGCAAAGAGCTTGCGGAAGAGTCACCAGAAAAGAAGGACGGTTGAGAGGGTGTCGAGAAAAAGAGGGAATGAGAAAGAGAAAGAGAGAGAGAGAGAGAGAGAGAGAGAGAGAGAGAGAAAGAGAGAGATTACCGCTTTCAAAGCAACGAGACTTGTCTCTCTCTCTCTCTCTCTCTCTCTCTCTTTCTCTCTCCCGACGCAGAGCGAGTAGAAGAGAGCTATATGGATACAGCGACGAGACAATGGGCCCGTTTGTACTTTGTAGCGCGTTCCTAATTACCCCCCGCGCGCGGTCCCCACGACGGCGGACACCCCGCCGAACCCTTTGAGAACGCGGAAGGACCGTGAAAGTGGATTATGCAACGACGGCTGGGGGAAGAAGCACGTGTGCTTGATGCACCGAGACCTCTTTCTGCCCCCTCCTCGTTTCTCTCTCTCTCTCTCTCTCTCTCTCTCTCTCTCTCTCTTTCTCTCAAAAACACGGTGCTTTGACAATGATAACCTTAGTAAGCGATTCAGTCAAAGGAAACTGCGCGCGCGCATTTTGCTCCTCTCATTTCTATTCCGCTATAAACGCACAGTCGTAAGGATTTATCTAGTTCTTGCTAATTTCGACCAAGTTCGTGCAACACGTAAGGGTATTAATTTTGTTTGTCGTTTATATGAAATTAAAATTATTGAGATAGAGAAACGGTCTCAGTACGGCATCTCAGATGAACTTGTTGGACGGATCTGAATATCTTATATTCGTATATAATTATGTAATTACAAAAAAATTATATATTGCAAATGTTTGTTTGCGGTAATTCGGGATTCGACAGAAAGTATTTCTTTTTTCAAATTCTCTATCTCGAGAGAGAGAGAGAGAGAGAAAAGAAATACGCGATGAAAACACAAAAAAGTACAATAAATTGCCACGCGATTTTGTGCCGACATTTGACGTTTTTTCTCGCATAACGAGGCGGAATTTTAATTATCACTCGCGTTCACGTTTCAAAGCAATCCGTACGAGAGCGTGTCGTACCAGTCGTCTGAGAATGCAGCGGCTACCGCTCGGTTTTTCTGTCTCGTCAGCGGCGCCGCGGATCCCGCGGCAGCATAGCGAGAATTCTTGCGAAATTTTTGCTGTTTGCCCGCTCGAATCTTGTCGAGGCAGACAAATTCTCCGAAACGAAACCGCTGAAAAGTTCTCAAGACGTAAAAGCGGTTCGTTACCATCGAGATAACGCCGTGCTCTCTTTCTCTCTCTCTCTCTCTCTCTTGCCGCGCTTCTAATTAAATAACAACATAATTCACCGTCTTACATTAAGACAATTAAATAACGTTTAAGATTCAACGGCGGCTGCTGCTTTTCCATTATACCGGTTGCCGACGGGGCTTCTCCTCCCTTCCCGGAATCTTACGCCTTTCGTTTCAACCTCTCTGCGTATCGCGGCCTTCTTCCCCCACGCCATAAGTCGTCTCCGTTCTCGTCGGACTGTTTTATGATTTTAATAAGAGCTCTTTTATTTCTCTGTCAATAGTGGAGCGTTTGAGCCAGACTTTCAATTTCGCCGAAACTTCCTCGTGAAAGTTTTACAGTTTTCCGCGTTGCTCTCGCGAGCAGTTTGTGCTTAAAATCGTCCTGATTAATATACACACCCGGATTCTGTACGCGCGATTATAAATTGCATGTTGTCAAATATTTGCTATAATTTTAATATTTATATCACACGGTTTTGTGAAAAGAAAGCGAAATAAATAATGATCGCGCGCTTGTTTGCCGTTTACTTTATGCAGCGTCAATATAATCGCCGATTGTCATTCCTAACCCGTTACCGTTCTCTCGTCCGCTAAATAGTAAACAAATTAATTCCGCTCGCGAGCCCCGACCGCAAATCTAGCATCGCAATTATTGCACCCAGCCAGCTCGCTCGCATGCCGCTCGCGCATATAACGCGGGGAAACGGGATTTTCAAACTCGTCCATGTGAATTGATTCGTCGCGACACGCGCAGGGGGGAGAAATCGCGATTATGCCAATCAACAATGAAGCTTGTCCGCATACCGGTTGCACCGGTGGCACCGGTCACGGGCGTTAATTCGATCCTTGCGTCAATAAATCCGTCAGTCCGGCAAGGATCATTCGAAATATTAGCTTTGACCCGTCATCACTTCCATATCGACAACGTACACAGAAAGAGAGATAAAGAGAAAAAGAGAGAGAGAGAGAGAGAGAGAGAGAGGGGAAGGAAGAGAAAGAGAGTGCAAAAACTTTTAACGCGCGCATTATTGCTAAATATACTTTATCTCAATGGCTTTTGATTTGTAAATCAAATTAAACCACAGAAACTACAGAAACAAAATATATTTGTCGGAAGCGTATATTTAAATCACACGCGCGAGTTTCATCGAAACGAAATAGCGGATAGTAAACTAGTTTATAATTAATTCACACTATGGTGAATAATTTTCGTCTATGCATATATATCATTTGCATTTACATTGCACCTTTAAACGCTGAATATACCGCGTGGACCCCCCCCTCCCCCCTCCCTCGTCGTGTAATCCCGTCGTTTAATATTATCGCGTCATAATCACACACAATTTCGTTCGCGCGATGTTTAACAATTTCTTTGCTTTAATTCAGGCAAGTCTCATACCATGCTGGGAACTCCCGAGGCTGGTCACACACTGGGCGCAATCCCTTGCGCCATAGCGTGGCTCTTCCGCGGAATTTCCGAGCAACGACAGAGAACCGGCGCCAGGTTCAGCGTCAGGGTCAGCTGCGTGGAATTGACTACCGGTCAGCAACAACTGAGGGACCTGCTCGCGGCGCACGCGAACGGTAAGTAATCTTCCAATTAGTCGGGAGAAGTATTCTCGCGTGAAAGAGTTTGCTGGGACTTTTTTCTTTTTTTTTGTGTGTGTTCACAACGTTTTTCTGTTCCTTTATCAATTAACGTTATCCACTTAGTGCCAATCTGCCGCTAACGACGTAGGTACGCATCCATTGCGACCAGACATGGATGTTGGATTTGCGATCTTCTATCTTTGAGAAAGACACGTATATTTTATTTAAAAAATCTATTCTAAAATAAAAAAAGAAATAAAATAATATTGATTGGATGAGGCTCTTTTAAAAAAATAGACTATTTTTAAAATTAATTAAAACAATTTAAGTACGACACGTGCAAAGAATATACAGTATCGTTGTTGTAATTTTCTGAGATTGTCAAAATAACTATTAAGTCTAATTGTATTAAAATTATTTTAAAAAAAGTGGCAAGGCAGTTGGAGTCAAATGCACAGTTGTTGGTGTGTGTAAATGTAATAATGATGTTCTTTATTTAATTGTTTGCAAAATAACGTTTCGACCATAGTTTTTGGTCTTTATCAAATTTGTTCTACAAAATTGATTACAAAAAAATAACAAAATTAATATATTGAGTAATAACTCAATATATTAATTTTGTTATTTTTTTGTAATCAATTTTGTAGAACAAATTTGATAAAGACCAAAAACTATGGTCGAAACGTTATTTTGCAAACAATTAAATAAAGAACATCATTATTACATTTACACACACCAACAACTGTGCATTTGACTCCAACTGCCTTGCCACTTTTTTTAAAATAATTTGAATATCTGGAGTTATCTGTTTTTCTGATTGTAATTGTATTAAGTCTAATTTCAATTTTCATTGAAGAAACTCTTTGTGTTTATATTCTAAAAGACCCTTGTATTTATATTCTAGAAGTACTTCCTTTTTTTAAGGAATAAGATGAGAAGTACGCGTCTATACTCCGAGAGACAGAACCAAATTAATTCTAATCTTCGAAATGCGGCTGAAACTTTCTCGAGCGTTTCCGCTTTCCGAGACTTCAGTGTTTCCCGCAATTAATTCAATGCCTCAAACAATGCAGCAAGATATAATCGTTTGAATTAATTAATACTAAGGAAGAGAGAGAGAGAGAGAGAGAGAGAAAGAGAAGTGAATTGTATCGTTGTGCTGACGCTCGTGTTATATTCGCTGTATGATCTTTGCACACACGGGAGCTCTAGTCATTTTCAGATCGTACAGTTCTAGTCGCAAACGCGCACGCAAGATTCTAACATAATCAAGACTAATGCGCATCACAACGAATGCCAGTCTCATCAATTTGTGCGTTCGCGTCAGTCTTGTTGATGTGTTGAAATCTCGTTGCAAATTCTAATTCCATTAGTCTCAAAAGAGATTTCGTAGACTTCGCTTGAATATTTTGATCGCTATAAATATTGTAGATAATTTATACAAATTATTTTAGGCGTCATTAAAATAATCATTTTTTGAGATGCAACATATATGCAACATATATATAATTGCAAGTATACTGTAAAACAAAGTTTTTATTTCAGTCTTCGAAAATTTTCATAAAAAAAGAGATCAGGAAAACTTCTACGGGGGAATATGAACATTTTACGGTTATGAGTTTAAAGACAGAGCGCGTAGCCGGACCGGAATCGTGTGCCGTATGGAATTGTACACGGAAATTGCAATATGTAGCATGTTCCATTTGGCTGATACGCTCCGAATCGACGATCGAACTGGTCGTGCGATGCTCAAAAGCACGGAACATCGGAATTGTCCTTTTCAAGGCCAAGAATAAAGCGCGGAGAATTCCGTAGTAATATTCAGAATGTAGAACGAGATTCGGTATTGGCCGCAATTTGGTTGCGTCTTCACGGACGAACGAACGGATGATTTGGTCCGTAAAATTGAGGGACAAGATTGTTTCCTTCTCCTAGTTCATGCTGATCGACCAACATGTGTCCTCCTCTTTTATATTTGTAATCTGCTCTTCTTTTCGTGCCGCACGATTCTCGAAGAATCGTCAAGAACTCGCTGGGATTAATAAAGAGTCGTTTCCTTCAAGGGGATGGACGGCTATGGTGCACTTATGGGAACGATCGTCAAAGATCGTCAAGACATTGCCTTGAGAATTAAAATGGTCCATCAGTTCTGGAACATTTTCTCCTTCCCGCGCTCTAGAAATGAGATCAATAAATTCGCGCAATATCTCTCTGATGCCGGACGGTTAACGTCATGTGACGCGATCCAATTCTATGAGCTTGATCGTAAAATTCAAATAAACATTTGTAAATTTAACTTGTTTCCACGTGAGCTTTATACGTTTTATTTTCATCCATTCGAACTAAAGTTAGAAAATAACAACAAAATTTTTTTTGCGACAATAATTATCAATACAGTAGTTTTTTGAATAGTTTTTTTGGATATTAATTTGTGAATATGAACATATTTATATATGAAGTTTGCGTTTTTTTTTTTTTTACGCGTACTCTGGAATTATACAAATCCAGAAATTTGTCATGTAAATTTGAACATGTTTTCTCTCAGGCGCGCTAGAATCCAATTTTCTACCGTGTCGCACTCCTGGGAATTTTACATTCATGGAAATTAAGACGTTTAGTAGTGTAAGTTACCGAATATTCTCCGAGTACGTGGGATGCGCGCATTTCACGTAAAACTCACGTTAGACGCGTCATTTGAATGCTGGCTTAACGACCACGCTGAGCATCTTTCCGCTCTCTCTCTCTCTCTCTCTCTCTCTTTGGCCTCCGGACTAATTAAGATGCGATGGAATTAATTTTCCAGCTTATTAAATAATTAACTCGTATCTATAGAACTATCTTGACTTTGTAAATCCTTTCCCTTTTGCACACATTTTCCTCTCTCTCTTTTTCTCTCTCCTCGTTTTTCGTCTTTCTTTCTCTTTGTATCTTATTTCAACCGACGCTCGCGTATCAATGATTAATTAACTTAGAGTAACTTAGAGTATCTAGTTTTTAACAGTTAGGAAAGGAACTTTGAAGAGTTTCTCTTTTCAAACTCTATCTTATTTAGAAGTAGTTCTTATTTAGAAGTGGTTCTTTTATTCCCTCTCTAAAAATTTCACACCTTTGTTTTCTCTCTGAACCTTAAAGGTATTTCAAGTACAAGACAGCCAGTTCTAATCTTACAGTCTTTACTTTTTTCGTTTCTTAATTTTTTTTTTTTTTTTTTTTTCTGGTATTTGTGTTTTATCTTCTCTACTCTCTCTTATCTATCTGTCTCTTTCAACTCTTCTTTTTTTTCTTCTCTTTTTATATCTTTTTATATCTTTTTTTGTCTACAAGAACATTGGTCTACAAGACCATTGCCGGATGGCGCAAGCAGCGTGTTCTTCTCGCTCGAGATTTAAATCGAGTAGCGGTACCCTTCTCGAGTTCGCGTTTACCTCAGAGAACTTGATAATCCCGCCTGGTAATTATTTAAAGTTTTCGACGGTCTTATGCGAATGGGGAAAAGGGAAAGGTGTCTCTCCGAGCGAGCAAAGGTTTACCTTTGTTACTCCTAACTGTATGCAATGGAATATTTAATTAAGCTTACACCCTAATATAATAATTGAGGCGACGGCTTGCGGTGGAATATTTAACACTTAACTGTGCTTAAAACTGAAGTTGTTACTTCTTACGCGTCAGATGTTACGAATGAATGCATTTGTGAATAAATAAAACTTTTTGTTCTCTCTTCGTTAATTTATATATTTCCTCTCTCTATTTTTTATATTTGTTATTACATCGCACATGTAATCCACGTAAGACCTTTAATATAATTCACATATATATATATATATATATGCTTGTTCAATATTAACGTTGTAAATGTCAGAGCTGTTTTTTCCATTATCGTGTAAATTAATCATGTTTACATGTCGAAGCGCTCAAATGGTTTACTAAAAGCAGTTACATTTTCTACTTTATTATATTTAATATAAGTTTATATTATAAATTCGTTCTGTTATTGAAAAAAAAAAAAAAAAAATCATTGTACGCGCATCGCTCACAAGCGATTATTATCGGGACAAAATATCCCTTCAAAGAGAGTATTTATATGAATTACCGCAATTCCATTCTCATCACACGTCGCTATCTGTTTAACAACATGATTATTTTGTGACATCCGAGAGTTACATGAAATTGAACCAAATGTTTACAATAACATCGTAGAATAAATATTAAATGCGGAAATGGATGTGTCAATCGATGCATAAATATGAAAGAAAGCCGACAATGTATCCGCATAAATATATTATAGCTTGATATCACTCCGCAATGTGTACATAAAAACGATTTTCCCTTCATATAATGGCAAAATAATTCCGAGTATCGCGCTTTCATATGTGAAATAAACTGTTTCCTCGCTGAAAGTGATAGACGGGGCGCCACAATTCAAAGTTACTTTTCAACTAATTTATCACTACATCAAAATATATGATATCAAACCAAACGATGATTTAATCATCGAAGATACAGCTTGCGCAAAAAGTGAAACATGTGCGCTACTGTATTTTCTGTTTCTCTCACTTCAGTTTATAGAAATTTTAAATTAGAACACAATACAACAAATTTTTACAAAATTGCAACACGTAATTATTAGATAATATTTTGATTAATAATGAAATGGGGGGATGATAGAGTAAGAGACATGATTATTGATATATCTATTATAATTAATATCAATTCAACTTAAAATCTCTGTGCTGTCATTTATTCGTCAGACAGGTGAAAGAGATGGGCTTTCAATCACTCTGTCTACATACACACACACATACACACACACACACATATATATATATATATATATATATATATTATATTGTTTCTGTATATAGAATGTGAATAGAAGATTCTCTCAAATCATTTTCATTTCAATCGGTCGTGCATATCAACGAACGGTGAGCAGGAAAAAAAAAAGAGAACCAAGACTATTTTCCATCCGTTTCTCACCGCTTGCGCGACGAGAA